TGCAACCTGCGCTACTAATTTGATGACTCTCAGCGTCTAAGGCCCCTTATCGAATCTTATCAGGTGTTATCACCTCCTGTCACCCACCAAAAGTGTTCCCGTCCTGCCATGTATATCACTTCTTGGAACTGTCATCCTATCTTTTCTGCGACGCTCGCTATGAATTTCGTGACAGACAGACAGACGCACACACAGCCACACACACACACACACGGACATAGCCGATTATATACAGTAGGATACGATAGTGGGATGGAACTGCTATCGGAGAAGTGATGGTTGAAGGAAAAGCTTTCTGACCGCTACACTGCCAAGTAATAAAGTCCCAGAAAGCTTTCGCTTTCTGAGACTTTATTACTTGGCAGTGTAGTGGTCATAGATGTCATGAGAATGTCCCCTTATCTTTTCTTATCAATTGATAAAATTGCTTGTCATCAATGTCGCTATCACTAAAACTCCATAATTTCGTGGTGTAGAGGCTCCAGCGTTTGACTGAACAGCAACTGCAACGTTCTCTATCAGCCCCTATCAGCTGTTATCACTTCCTGTCAGCCTCCGTCGCCGTCCCCACCTTCTCCTTTAGATCATTTGCTGGAATCAACGCCCAACTTATGCTGTGTCCCGCGTTATGAGTATGTTGACCTTCCCATTTTAACTCCCCTTATCAAATCTTATCAGCAGCTAGCAGTTCTTGTCACCCACCAATAATATTCCTGTGCCATAGCCTATATCATACCTTGGAACAAACGCCCCCGTGTTGGCTCTGCACTTCCCTTGCACATGCTCAGGTCTGGCTGAGCACGTGCGCGGGAAGGGAGCAGAGAGGGGGGGGGCACTCGGCGTCCCCCCCCCCTCCGCTCACACCCACCTGCCCCCGCACGAGCACACGTCCAGCTGCCACGCCAGCAGCTCGTGCAATGGCTCGGAGTGTACCGAATGGTTGTCTTATATAGCGGAGGCTGTTATCACAATCAAAACATTGGATTGATACATCCGCACCAATCGGTTACCGGTTTGCCTAGCGGTCGTTTTCTCCTCCAGCGAACTCGAACCCGTGAAGCATTTTGCGGACGGACAAACATACATACATACTTACATACATACATACACGCTAACCGACACACAGTTGCTGCTTTATAGAATAGTAGGATTATGTTGTCCCATACCTTGGTTTGGCACCCTGTGCAATAGTTTTTGATTCGAGTATGTCTTAGGTGACTGAGGTTAAATGAGTGTCACGATTCGAGGTCAGCATTCAGCAAATCCACTTGATGCAGATCACCTCACTGGCAAATCCGAGGAGATGCGAAGCGATCTCCCATGACTACCTTGTCAACTTGATAAACACATCGGTCATATTGCTTGAAGCTTATCATTCTTGAACTGTGCGACCTAACGCCTTTTCCTCCTCTCCAAACAGCGTGTGAAACTGATAAGCCCCCCAACTCAGGCCAGATTCCTCCGTTCGTGCAGAGCATCAGCTTACGCCGCATCTTTGTACTGTTATTCTGGGCAGATGGGTCCCACCTGAGTCTCATCGTGTCGTTTGAGAAGGATACGTGAGTTAATGCTCCGCTGTTCGGGTGAACTGAATTTTGTTGTGAGCGCACTGTTCCTGAATATTTTCGACATGACAACGAAATTTTAGAGAGAAGAGAAGATTTCTAGACTGTGCAGCTTCTGAATTAAGAGCTTCAAGCGCTCTTCGAGCTTCTAAAGGAGATGAAAAGTTCCATACGTAAAGCCTCATAAATACTCCATCTAACAACCTTGTTTGACAGAAGCAAAGAAAACACCGTTACAAATATTTTCTCACTCCTTTCCGCAAACAAAAAGGAAAAGTCTATTAAGGAGCCTCTTCCACGATCGATCTCTTGTCTGCATGTCCACAATATAGCTGCGGCGCTCTCTTGCAATTAGTCTAATCAACTCCGCCTCATCGCCTTCACTGTGGTGATGTTCATTTTGTAGGCAAGTATGGGATTGCAACGGTTGGCAAAAGCATCGGTGTGGTGCGAAGAATGCCTCCACCAGCAACGCTCCCCTCCTTGAAGTCGGAGAACAATGGCCAGGATCCAAACTCTGTGGTGCTGCCACTAGGTAAGTATAACTTCTAGAGTCACCGCGGTATTGTTCTTTCAATATGCTTTTTTGAGGGAATGTCGGCTGGAGTAGAAGCGAACCTTCGATGGACAGTCTTGACGTGTTCAAAGCGCTATCTTCATCTCCAACTGCCCTGCCTGATTTGCGCCCTACTTGGGCGAAGCAGTCACAAGATTCAGTAAATTGTGGAAGTGGCAAAGGAGAGTTTCCTACGCTGTCGACCTCTGCTCAACGGCCCAGCACTTCGCGAAAAACTCGGAGTATGTTCTTTGAGCTTGAACATAACAAAGGCTCACAAGGGAACCCCAACAGGTCGATCCGGCCATTTGCAATGAGATGTATATATGGACGTGTCTTGAGCCGCTGAATCCAAATCTGCCCTCGAATTTGCGGAACGATTCTCTGAAGGGAGTTACGGACCATTCATTCTGCTGTGTTCGCACAAGTTCGGAACAATAATTGACTAGCGAGCAAATGGTGGTGTAGTGGGTAAGTGCACTGCCCCAAAGACACGATGTCACATGTTGGATTCCTTGACTCTTGGAAGCTTTTGTGTAAAACACTTCACATGAGTCCTCAGAACACCTCTCTCTAGCTAGTTTACCTAGTTCTTTGATTATTTGACATCAGGAGCAAGCAAATTCGCCATTTCTGGTTCCTTTTAAGAAGTTTCATTATGAGGATATCCGTTTATTGGAGCTTACATCAAGAAATGAAGATCTTATGGTTCTAAGAGCACATGTGGTATTCTTCCACGAAATGATGGAAACAAAACAAGCTCTCGCAATGATCACAGCGAATAAGGAAGACTCTTTCCACACGGCACAGTCACAGTTCTCCACTAGCCTAGAGAGAAAGCAATGCTGAGATTTTTTTCAATTTTTATCAAAATTCTCTCAACATGATTTGTGCAAAGTACCCGATACGATCAGCCCACATGATTATGATCTACCGACACGTGGCATTCCGCACAAAAAACAGCCAGCGGTTGCTTTCTTGTTCTGTCGAAATGTTCTGCAGGAAGGGCGTATCTATTAGGATAAATCAGAGAACTAGGGAAGGCAAATGCGGAAATTTCCGCATCAGTACGGATATTTCCGCACTGATGTGGAAATGTCGCACTGAGGTGGAAATGTCCGAGACGCAGTGGACTCCCTTGCTAGAGCCCTCGAATTGCAAAATATCTGGCCGGCTCGTATCTCGTCTATCTCGTCTCGCTGCCTTTGGCGGATCGATCGATAAATCGACCCTCGCTCGTCGCTTTCGGGCGCAATCATCGCTTTGAAGATAGTTCAAATCGTAAAAATATTTCGAAATGCCCTGGAATAACAATACCGTTAACAAGGATTCACATATTGGGTTTCGTTTGCTCGTGTTGAATGATTTTGTCTGAACGATGACTATGCATTTTCCTTCGCACCTTGAACAATTTATTCCTATAAGTTCACATTCCTGGTACATTTCGAAGGTTACTGGCCCTCGCGAAAAGCCAAAAGTCGCCTCCATTCGTGACTTTGCCCGTCCTGAATGGATGGCGAGTGCAGGCGTATCCTGCGGAGGAGAGAGGATAGTGCCAGTCCCCTTGACAAAAAATTCGCCTCCCTCCATGCCTTTCCCCGTCCCCAATGGAAGGCCAGTGCACGGCGTATCCTGCGGAGGCCAGTGGAGTGTGCCGATCCCCTTGGAGAGCCAAAAATTCGCCTCCACCCACGACCTTGTCCACTCTTGAATGGATGGCGGCACGGCGTATCCTGCGGAGGCCTGTGGAGGGTGTGCGCCGCGTATCCTGCGGAGGCCTGTGGAGGGTGCCGATCCCCTTGGAGAGTCAAAAATTCGCCCCTATCCACAACCTTCCCCGTCCTCAATGGAGGAGTGTACGGCGTATCCTGCGGAGGCCTGTGGAGGGTGCCGGTCCCCTTGGAGAGTCAAAAATTCGCCCCTATCCACAACCTTCCCCGTCCTCAATGGAGGAGTGTACGGCGTATCCTGCGGAGGCCTGTGGAGGGTGCCGATCCCTTGGAGAGTCAAAAATTCGCCCCTATCCACAACCTTCCCCGTCCTCAATGGAGGAGTGTACGGCGTATCCTGCGGAGGCCTGTGGAGGGTGCCGATCCCATTGGAGAGTCAAAAATTCGCCCCTATCCACAACCTTCCCCGTCCTCAATGGAGGAGTGTACCGCGTATCCTGCGGAGGCCTGAGGAGGGTGCCGATCCCATTGGAGAGTCAAAAATTCGCCCCTATCCACAACCTTCCCCGTCCTCAATGGAGGAGTGTACGGCGTATCCTGCGGAGGCCTGAGGAGGGTGCCGATCCCATTGGAGAGTCAAAAATTCGCCCCTATCCACAACCTTC